ATGATTTAATGATTTAATGATTTAATAATAATTACTTTAATGATTTAATGATTTAATGATTTAATGATTTAATGATTAATAATTACTTTAATGATTTAATGATTTAATGATTTAATGATTTAATGATTTAATGATTTAATGATTTAATAATAATTACTTTAATGATTTAACTTTAATGATTTAATAATAATTACTTTAATGATTTAATGATTTAATGATTTAATAATAATTATTTTAATGATTTAATGATTTAATGATTTGATGATTTAATAATAATTACTTTAATGATTTAATTTTAATAATTTAATAATAATTACTTAATTTTAATGATTTAATTTTAATGATTTAATAATAATACTTGACTTTAATGATTTATATTTACTGATATAATAATAGTAAATATATTCGATTCAATTACTTTAATTTGATACAAATAATTAAAATAAGGATTACAACTCTTGTCGGTGTCGGGGTGTTGTTGAGTAATAATGTCGAGGCCCACGTCGGTTTCGTTGTTGTCGTTGCACTTGTTCAGGAGTTTGTTCAGCATAACCAACCTGCTCATTCATCGAGGGCATAGGTTCTGGTGTTGTAAATACATGCCCACCACCACTATGCTCTCCCTCTGAGGACAAACACTCGTACTTGTGATCATAGATGTCATCTGATCAAAATCATTTGTTGCCTTAAACATAGGAGGGAACATGAGTGATTGATGAGGAACATGCTGAGGAGTGTAGGGCGTAACACCAGAATCACCAACCATTTGACTAAATGATCTTGTGTGATCAAAAGATTCTGGTGGGATATTATCCATTGTCTCTTGTTCTGCTCCCGGTGAGAAGAACTCCCACTCCCACTCCCAGTCCTTCTTGGTTTCTCGGGTTTACGAATTTTTTGGTATACTCTATAATTGTCGCCTTTCTCTGATCGTTGTCAAGAACGGCTTTCCATGTTCCCAAAAATAATTCAGGTAATCCGAACTCTTGAAGTCAAAGTCATCTGGTTGTATGGGAGTGAGCGTTGGCAAGTATGAACCCCTGTTGTTCCAATGATTGATATGGTTAGCATGCCTCACCGACCAATCCTCACCGATCCTACCCGCCCATCTAATCGATGGAGAGCATCATGATTCTCTGGAATGACTGGAATATGTTGGTGGAAGCCGAACTGCCTCAACACTCTATCGGCAAATTGGAACTCCACAAACATGAAATGGATCAATGGTGTAACAGCACACCAATATTCACAACCCTCCCAGACATGTTGCGGTACGCACGACATAATTTCTTGATCATGGTACGACCTCCAAATAAACTATAAAATAAAATTATATAGTTATTATTTAATTAAATAATTATAAAAATCACAAATTAATAAATAACAATATTATAATATAAACATAATATGTATAAATTCACTTATTAATTTTATATACCTCAACTTTGCATTTGATGTCAATCTTAAACCTAAACTCTTTCACGTTGTTGTGCGCCAACCCCGTTCTTTCTATTTTATGCCTCCATCTGTATACCAATCAAAATAAAATTTTGTAATTATTTTTCATTTACAAAATTTTTTTTATTAATTAAAGATAAAATATTTTAAATCAATAAATTACCTTCCGGCAAGAGGAAAGTCAACTGCAGTTCGGCTAATCGGTGTTAACCATGGAATTCTGTACCACGCCCACGATTGTAATAACATCGTGCATCCGCCGATTTCAGTCGTGTACGCATCATTAACAATTAATGATGCCTTGCACATCTCGCGATACAAGAATGCCAATATTGCTGATCCCCAACTATATTGACGGGTCATAAAGAAGTTCTCCAAAAACGGAAGATATTGTATATGGACAAGATTACTAGATTTATCTGGCATCAAGATTCCGCCGATCAAACGTAATATATATGCTCGAGTTGCATATATAATGTCTCGCTCACTACATTGTGGATCGAGCTTAAACTCATTTGCCAACCAGGATAATCTCAGCCGTGACCCTTTTGCTACATCTTTGTCTGGTACCTTCCCAAGGTAACACTCACATATTGCAAACATGTCAAGATCTGTATTTCCAACCACTGCCATTCCATTTGTAGGAACCCCTAGTTGTAAAGCCACATCCTCCAAAGTGATCGTACATTCACCACATGGAAGATGAAAAGTATGAGTTTCTGGTCTCCACCTTTCAATTAATGCACTTATCAAACCGGGGATCAACCGAAATTCTCTTACAAAAGCAACATCATAAAAACCCACTGTTTTCAAATTATCAACAATACGTTGATCTGGCATCTCACAGTTGATAAGTAGAGGACGAAGGACTCGTTGTTCGTCATCCTGCAATTTAGTAGTCATTGTAATTAGAATTAATACACCGTTCTCAAATAAAAAAAATAAGTCGATCATATTACCAGTTCTCCCAAATTACTCGAATGTGTCGACCATCTAGCCTCAAAGAACATTTTCTTCGGCCATGTTTCAACAAATCTAGACAAAAAAAATTAAATATTACACTCAATTATTACATTGTTTTATTCAAATAATCAATTGCATGTTATCTACTTTAATAAAAATAAACATCAATATAAAATGATCCCTAATTACTATTTGCTTCTCAACATTTTCAAACTTTGCAATTTAATCACTAAATTTATAAATTCTTTCAAATTTAACCAATTAAGCATATTAATACTAAATTCAAGCATAGTATACCAACTTTTTATAATTTACTCTAATTTCTTAAATTCCTCAAATTTTGCAAAACGATCCCTAATTACTATTTGGTTCTCAACATTTTCAAAGTTAGCAATTTAATCCATAAATTTTAAATTCTTTCTAATTTAACCAATTAAGCATACTATACTAAATTCCAGCATAGTATAGCAACTTTTAATAATTTACTCTTTTTCCTTAAATTCCTTAAATTTTACAAAATGATCCCTAAAACTTTACAATGTTCCAAAATGGTCCCAACCTTATTTCAAATTATGTAACACATATAAATTATTATTTCAGAGTGTAACAACATATAATCACAAATTAATAAACTTATGAAACTAAAATTATGAGATCAATATGAAACCATAAACCTTTAAAATAAGAATCAAATGAGATATAGGGCTTGAGTTTAAATTACCTCAGGCTATGCTTTGTGATCTTACTGCTGATCAATCTCCCTCTCAAGCTCTCACTGCTTCTGTAATTGTGAATTGCCTCAGCCCCAAACTCTCACATTGCCTCAGCCTCAGCCCGAGCATCTCTTATAAACACATTCGTAACTCATCCATATTTATTTGTTAAGAAGACGCCGAGCTATCCAGCTTTCCATGCAAAGACGCCGAGAAATCCTTACCTAAATGTAAAGAAGACGCCGAGAAATCCATCAGTTGCATGCCCCCCACATGCAGACGTGCAGGACCCCCACATGCAGACGTGCAGCCTTGCAGGACCCAGGACCCGTGATTTCTCCTTGCAGAACCCGTGCTCTCTCCTTGCAGAACCCGTGATTCTCACGTCCAGTCCCATGCACAGCACTGAAGACGCCGAGAGTTCCTATGAAGAATCCAACTGAAGACGCCGAGAGATCATGCACAGCTCCCACGCTTCCACATCTGCTGAAGACGCCGGGATATCCAAGCTGAAGACGACGACAGCCTAAAGACGCCGAGCTTTCCAAAGAACCACATTAAGCACTGTATATTTCACCCCATTTGGGGAAATAATAGGCAAAGGGCATTAGTTGGGGAAAAAATATTCCCCACATGCATTATTCTGGCATTTTTGCCCCCCCCAATTATATGAAATACATACTTTAATTTATTTCCTTCAATAAGTGAATTTAAATTGCTTGGCATCTTAAGGACAGGATCACATTGCTCAATCAGTCGATTGTATTACAAATTTACAAATAATTTATCATATTTAGAACTGTGTGTATATATATATATATGTTGAGACTTTTCTGTGCACAAATTATATTGCCAACTAGCTAGCATTTAAATTTCAAGAATGTCTAACGCATGATCAATCGTCAATTTGATCATTTGATGATTAAGACAATGACAGCTACCCAATATTCAAAAGTTTTGAAAATTACCATTTTGTTTGTGAATGGTGTTAATTGAGATGTTTATGTTGATAATAATTATTCATTTTCCTTGTAAATAATCTTAAAAAGATAAATGATCAACTATTTTTATTATTTTTCTCTCAATTCGTATTTTTATATAATATGATTATTATAGATACAGATTTATATGGTAAATTATTTCAAAATATATATATACTGCTCTCCTTGGTATGTAGGAAAAAAAGAAAAGAAAAGAAAGAGGAGTGGAACCTCACGAGCCTAACGCACATGGTTGTTAACTATTTTCCTATACATGTAAACAACCACGTCTAATAAATTATTGAATTCACTTGGTCGGTTTATGTCTCATTTTTTTAAATTAATCACTAATATCTAATTTATTGACCGACTGATCCAGATCGGATACTGCAGAGGTAAGGACGACCCTCCCAACCTAGTTTGCTCTATTCGCAAACGCCAAGATTCGAATCATTGACTTTATTTAAGAGACCTAGTGCCTCATCCAACTAGACCAACTGATTGTTGGTATGTCTCATTTTTTTTTAATTAAGTTGATTGAATTTTTTAGAATCTTCCATGTGTTAATATATTCACACATATTTTTATTGTTTAGTAACTAATTCACGCTCTTTGGTTGATTTTAAGAAAAAAGATTGGTTAATGATGAGACAGTAACTTTTTTATGTTCTCTCTATTTATTCAATACAATTATTAGTTAAAAAAGAATTATGATCATTTAACTATAGTAGTAATTAATATATAGTCAAATTGTAATTCAACAGAAATGACTATTCAGTGCAAATGCAAACGTGAGAAGAAAGTCGTACCAGAAGGGAAAAAGACTTGAAAGTTCTTTGTGCATGTACACAGATCGTGAGTGTTTGCATGTGTCGCCGATCCGTATGCAATCTTCATCCTCTACAACCTGCAGTGCTATTTTCTGATTCGAATTACAGGTATATCTTTCAACCCCATTTTTAATGCTGTCTTCCTGAAGAGCGAAGGTGGTCTTTGCAAGCCAATTGATTGGGAGAACTGGTTGGCCAGCTCAACCAGAGTTGTTTTATCCCTCCCAATTTCTCTGATTGAGTTATAATAACCAAGCCAAGAATGATATGCCTCTTCTTTGACACTACCATCAATCTTCGCCATTGAAAACTCCAGCTGCAACAACCATTACAAACTTAAAGCTACTTCTGATAGATGAAGAGTAATACTTTAAAAATTAGATGCAGACCTTTTGTTTGGCATCTGGCTCCATATCCGGTAAAGATAGTTTCTCGAGAGTCAAGTCCTTAATTTCATCCAAGAAATACTCTTCCCATGGTGAAATCAGTAAGATACCTTCTCCATCCTTGCCTTCCCGTCCTGTTCTTCCTAGGCGGTGTATATATTGCTCTCGCTCAGAAGGAATTCCCACCTGGAATACAATATATGTATTTGATAACCAGAAAGTTCCTTAACTTTCGGGAATTAATTAAACCGTGGAAGAAGCTAAAAAGGTGCAAGAGATCTTATCATTTACAGGATTTCTCATCATGATCCAATAATATCATACTTAGAAGGTGAAGCATAAATGTATTTATGCATGTGTTTCAAAAATTTGAACTGCATGATAAGCCAGTCAAATGCTCAAGGTTTAGGTTCAAATGTACCTGAATAACCAAAGTGACATCAGGGTAATCCATTCCTCGCGCCGAAACATCAGATGTAACAAGAATTAATCTCTTAGATTCCCTAAATTCATCAGAGATGCGAGTTCGAGCAAACTGTTTCTGGCCATCACTAGACTGCTCCTCACCTCCAATTACACCAGTAAAGTCATGATCAAAGCGGTGATAACATTTTTGCACCACATGGCCAAACTTACCACACAATTGGCACTGAGGTCTGTTAGAACTCCGTCCTCGGCCTCGACCCCGATAATCGCCACCTTGATAGTCTCGATTTTGACCTGAACATAATTGTGAAGCATCGCTCTCTTTAACTTCCACTTCAACATTATTTACCTCCTTAGGTAAAATGGTCAAGTTAGCCATAGCATCTTCATGTAGGAATACTTTCTGTCGAGCCTCACAATATATTAACATATCAGTCAAAGTTTCTAAAGACAGACTATCACGAGACGCAATAGCGATGATCGACTCAAACTCCATTGAGAGACCAACAAGAACAACACTCACATGTTCTTGCTCAGTAATAATACTGCCAGAAACATTAAGTAAATCACATATTGACTTAATCTTTACAAGACACTCACTAATAGTCAGTCCAGATTTCCTTTGAGTATGTAAGCTATGTCTAAGGGATGAGATCTTGGCAGCAGATCGAGCACCAAACAATCGAGAGATAGCAGACCATATGGAAGAGCTTGTTGTAAGGCCAGTAAGATGAGGCTCTCAAAACCTTGTTAAAGAAGGAAAATCAAGAAGATACATCTCTAGTTACAACACAGCTTATTTATAGCTTTATGAGCTTACTCAACTGAACTGAAACAGAAGCATAACAGCTTAAACAGAAGCATAACAGCTTGAAACAGAAAACTCAACTACCTATCACTAACTAACTCATAACAACTTGTAAGCTCATAGGGAGAGCGTTGGGGATAGAGTTTGAAGGTCCGAATGAGATTTTAGTCCGGGAGATTGTAGCAGCGGAGGAATTGGAAGGCGTATCCCAATCGCTATCTATCACCTTTTAATTGAAATTGGAGGGTGAAGTTTCGGGATGAAGATTTTATCCTGAAATAAAAGAGGTTCGATGGGCTGATTCAAGATTACTAGCATGGCATGTTAGCTTTGTGGCAGCGTTGAGGAGAATTTGGCTGGTCAGAAACGAATTTGTTTTTAGGGAGAAAAGAGTAAAACTTAAAGACGTTGTGTGTACAGTTAAAATGCTAGCTTTGGTTTGGTGTAAGACACTCAAGGAGTTTTATAATCTTGATGAGGAACGGTGGTGGAGTGCTAAGAGCAGAATATGCAGAATATAATTTGGCAGTCTCCGGAAATGGGGCAAATGAAGTTTTAATGTGGACCGGTCTGCTACTAAAGAGGCAACGGGTTGCGGAGGAATGCTAAGAAATTCTGAGGGGCATGTGGTGGCAATGTTTTTCGGACCTGTTTCAGACATTTATACTGAATTTACAGAGTTGGTAGCTATTAAACTTGCATTAGAATTATTTTGCGAATCTAAGTGGCTGAGGGAGGTGAATTTGATTGTTGAATCTGATTCTTCAGTAGTATTAAACTGGATACAATCTTATTCCGGTTGACCTTGGAAGTGGGGAGCAGTTTTTGAAGAAATTGATGGGATGGTTTTGAAGATAAAGGGTGTTAGATTTGAGTTCACACCGTGACTTAGCAACAACATGGCCGATCACCTCGTAAAAATTGGATCGAGAAGAAATGTTTTGTTTAAAGCTTCTTGGTAAGATAGCAGGTTGAATTTAAATGTAAGTCCGTGGTCTGGTCCTGTTTCGCTTGAATGTTAAGCAGGGGTTGTTTTTTTTTACAAAATGGTTAGTTAAGCAGGGTTAGACAGGTTGTTCCTAGGCAGAGCTTTGTAGATTGAATATGTGGAAGTGTTGCTTATTTTGATCCTTGGCTGTTCATGTTTTCTGCAGATCGGTTGTTTTAGTCCCTAACTGTGGAGTACTCTTTTCCCTCAAATAGGTTTAGGGGGGTTTTTAATGAGGCTCTTAGTTGGGGATGTGATTACTATCTCTAAGAGTAATAAAAAATTTTGGTTTTGCTGAGCAAAAAAAAACTTGTAAGCTCATAGGAACCTATTGCAATACGCACTTAATCAAATATTAAAACTTGGATTTCTACGATATTTCCCTAGTTGATGGTTTCAACATCCCCATGGTGTTTGGCTCGAATAGCGGCGGTTGTCACAATATTCGGGGCACCGCGGACATCAACGAGCAGTGTCCGAGTGTGTTAAAAATTTGATCCTAAGAGTTTTGAATGTTTTATTTTTCATCCTCAAATTATAACCATCACTTTAAATAATTAGTCCTTAAACTTTTGAACATTCCAATTTTATCCCAGAACTATCACTCCCATTCTAAATTGATCTATAAACTTTTGAATCTTCCAAATTTATCCCAAAATTCATCCTAACATGTAATTAGTTTCAACATAAGCTTAACATAAATTTTATTTCCTTAAAATGAATTGATCGTTCAAAATTATGGGCACCGATTTAGAATGAGTATCATATTTTGAAGATGAAATTAAAATATTCAAAAGTTTGAGAACTGGTTTAGAATGAACGTTGTAGTTTAAGGATGAAATTATAATATTTAAAAGTTTAAGAATCAATTTAAAATAAAAATCATAATCTGAGGACGTGTAATACAATTTAATTCATTATTTATAGTGAAGTTGATCGTTTGAAGGGTAAGAGAGGGCATAATGGTTTATTTTAGGTGGTTATTTAATTTTTTTTAAATATTTTCATTTCTGTAGAATCTAAATTTTTAATTTTAATTAATTTAAATTGAACTAACGAAAAGAATGGTAAGAGTCGTCAAAGTTAATATCAACTATGTTGTCTTTTTGTCAATACTAACGTTAATTGTATTATCTTTTTCTTTCGAAAATATGTATTATCTTTTTATTAATATTGACATTAATTATTTTATTATTTTTTAGATTAAAAAATCCATGAATCTTGAGAAAATTAATCTTCGAACCTACAAGGCATGAAAAGGCCATAGCTTCTAACGCCAACAAATCTAGAGAAACCCTACAATCTCCAACCCCAAATACCCGAGGAAAGGTTTATTTTGACATTGGGAAAGGCCATGATCTCGAGGTAAAATTGGCCTAAAATTATTTAGATATTTACTATATTTATTATAGTGACTTATAACTCATAACGAGTTTTAATGAAATACATTTTTTATTCAAATTTTAATATTTTTTTATTTTATTGGAATTCGTCACGTTGACATGACAAGTTTAAATAAAAAGATATTATTTAGACAAACTCGTCACATTGCACTATAATTTTTACCGTAGATTGCAAAATAAATTTCGAATTAGTCTATTAAGCCAATTAATTTTTCCGTCTGGCCTAATGGAAAAAAAAAACCTAATCTCTACCCAAAAATCTTGAAATAAGCTATAGGCATTAACGCCCTCTAAACCTAAGAAAGGCTCATTTTCATGTTGTCCACAAACATATTTGTTTAATTATTGATATCGAATTATTGATCAAATAATTTAGATTAATATTATAAAAAGTTACTACAGAAACAACATTTTAATTTAATTTATGACAATCACACTATTAATTTTTTTTCACTGAGTCAGAATCATATTTTAATATTTATATTGATTATCTCTCTCTATATATTTAATTTTTTTTAGATTAATGGAATTATATGATATTATCGAGGGTGATTGAATGTGATAACCGATTTGTAGTGAAGATAGGTAACAATTCCGATTTACCAATCCACTTAGGAGCATCACGGAAATCCAATAAAGACAGAGGAATGGTCCGATTTCTATATCCTATGAAGCTAGTGTCCGTGTTTGCGTCTACCTCAGATTCAGAGGCATCCCTACTGCTCATACAGTGGAATGGTCCATGCAGGAGCATATATTCATCGGAAAGGAGGTTCATTCATGAACTGGATGTCGTAACCGGTTTTCGTCCGGGCACGAAATATTTATTTGGCGAGAAAATTGATGTGAATAAATGGTTTTGAAAATAATTTGGGAGTCGTCATCGGCCTTTTGGATCAGGTAGGTCGAATACCTAAAAAATTATATTTTAAAAGAGTTTTTAAGAAAACATCAGTTAAAAGATAAATTGATCTGCGTTTTAACCAAAAATTCGTTCTTTTTAATAATAAAAAGGGATTCGTGGTCGGTTACGTTTAGGGAAGGATTAGCACCCCTACAATGCCCAAAATTGGTACTTTTTAATTATAAATTGTCTCTATTATTAAAATTTTAAAAATTCAAAAATATATTTAATTTATAATTCTATTATTATAAAAAATATTTATTTATTTAAAAATATCCGAAAAGAACTTCTAGGTGCCTTAAGACAGCTCTTTTCTTTGATATTGATAAATATTAATTTAAATTATATTGTTTACTTTTTAATTTTAAAATATCAGAATAGGACATCCAGTTGTATTAAGACTGTCCTTTTCTTCGATATTAAAAATAAATATTTAAAAATTACTATTTATTATATATTTATGGATATAAAAATATTTAACAATATAATAAAATAAAAATACAAATACTACTAAAACAATATATTTAAAAACAATAAATGAAAACATATAAAATAATTGACTAAATTATAATAAAAATAAAATTAAAAATCTAATTCATAATTAATCAAAATTATAGGGATTTAATATGTTATTTCCTTATTTTATGTATTTGGTGACTAAAATAAAATTATCTAAAATTCGGATATTAGAATCAAATAAATTAAAAATATAAACTAGGGATTAAAATATTATTTATTAAAATTAAGGGATTAAATCTGTAATTTATCCTAAATATATTATTTTAATATGAAGGACTAAAATAAAAGAAATTAAAATTCGAAGACTGAATTAAAAATATTATAAATTTAATTTAGTGACTAAAATGGAATTCTACAAAACCTGAAGGGTCATGGACGGGGTTTACTAAAACGCACAGTTTCACTATAAAACGGCGTCGTTTCATCTCGGGTATAAATACCCTATAACCGGCTTCTCCCTTAAGCCATTTTCTCATT